CTCTTACTGATTAAAAACCACCCCGTTCCTACTTCTGCTCTTCGAGCCGGAGCCCCGGTAACCTAGGCGGAAGATTAACGGGTTGCCGGGGCTCCGGCGGGGTTTTTAGTCAGTAAGAGATAGTAGGTAGGGAAGTACATTCCCTCCCGCCTCACCCGGGCGGGAGAAGTCATTGGATGATTTTCCCCCCTCAAAAAAAAGGCGGCTCCATAGAATAATAATCAGCTGAATTTAACTTTGGCTAACATAATATTATACACCAGTTCAGTATTTTCCTCTTACGGCCATTTTCTACAACCTATCTGTAGATTTACTTCATAAGTCTGTAGACATAAGCTATCATACAAAATGTGTCCAAATTCTATCTCAGTAAGCAAAGACAGATAAAAAATAGGCTACAGAAAACGGCCGTTAGTGGCCCGCCCGTATCAAATCGACATCATTCATTGTTAGTCGCTTCGATTTATTTAATCTGACAATTGATGTTCGTTTATTATTATAATAAGATCTACAGTACTCGCGTACCAAAGATCACCCAAAAACAGACACACCAGGTTGTGTTTCCTGGTGGTAAGCGATAAAAGTAATAATACCAGCCGGCCCCCCAACCAAACGCATGTAACAAAACGATAGCGCGATCTATCTCGATCCTAACGCCATCTATCGAGCATGCGGACAATTTTGCTAAGCTTTTCGCATTTTGTTATAAAATATTTTATTGTAAATTGATAATTATTGGGATCTTGCAGTAATTTTTATTTGTTGTTTTAAGACGTTTTTCAACTATGATCTGTACTTTTATTCCTAAGTTTTATCTTTGGTTAAGCTAAAAATAATTTTCAAGTACCTAAAGGTTTTTATTATAAAATACAGAAAATCTAAGTTGCTATGTACAAGTAGCAATTTACTGATCAACTGAAGGTAAACATTCGTCTTCTCGCCCATGGACATTCGCGTCACCGGAGTTGTAATACAAATGCGTTGCTAGCCTATATTACCCCAAGTTATACTAATACTCAGTTATACATTATCAATTTAGCATCTGATAACTGATTTTAAGATCTATAAGATCTTAAGCACTCGCGTGCTTGAGATCAATCAAAAAATAGCAACACCAGGATCTTCAATTCCTGATGGTAAGCAATGACAAGAGCAGTGTCCGGAGGTCACCCAACCAAACGCATGTAACGAAACCATAGCGCGATCTATCTCGATCCCAACGCCATCTATCGAGCATGCAGACAACTCTGTACAGTTCGAAAAACAGTTCTGTAAAGTTTTTTCCAATTTTAAATTTTTTTTTGTGTAGTTTGTAATTTAATAAGTAAAATATTTTATTAATTTTTATTTCGTAGTTTTAAGTGTTTTTTACATGTTATTCCATGTTTAAAGTTGTGCAACAGGAATTTGTACTAAAGGGCCAAGAGGTAACTAGCTGAACTAAAGGTATTCTAAAAAATCTAAAAGGTTAAAAACTAAGAAGTTACAATAAAGAGTACTAGAATGAAAGTAATTTTCTAATTTTTTAGTCTAAAATTGTTTTTTTTTTTCAGATCGAGCGCCGAAAAAACCCCTGATTAACAGAAAAAATCGCAAAAAAAAATCTGAATTCTGAATAATTGTGTGCACTATGTACTATTATACTACTTTTAGATGATGTAAAATATTTGCATTTTTATACAGTTTGTATTTTTTTCAGACGCCATCTGCCGACCAAATAACGAACTGAACTATTTTTTTTGTTTAGTTTTTTTTTTGTAAATAGTTTTATACTTATTTAATTCGATTGGTAAGTTTAGTCAGATATTGTAGTAGCTTTTATTTAATATTATGTTTTTCGGCTTACTCACGCAACTGAGTAACTGAGTCCACTAGTTTCAAGCCATGCTAAAGGCTCATTATTCATGAGCAGCATTCCGCGCTCATGAATATGAGTCATAATATAAATATAGCTTTTATTTGGTGATTTCAAATATTTTTCTTCTGTACTTACATTTTTGACAAAGTTTTAACTTTTTTTTTTTGAGGAGGGCAAGTCATCCTACGACTTCTCCCGCCCGGGTGAGGCGGGAGGGAGTGTCAGATTCTTACTGACTAAAAACCACCCCGTTCCTACTCCTGCACTTCAAGCCGGAACCCCGGCAACCCGTTAAGTTCTCCTCCGCGGCTCTTTATCGGCATCAGCCCTATTGGGCCACCCACATCCGTGGTGGGCTGTTGACTCTTTGAAGCGCGTGCGGAACGCGTCGCGCCGCACGCTCGGGTCTGTTTCGGGCTTCGGGTGGCGAGCTCATCGTACCGTATTTATGTTATGAGTCCCATGTAATAGGGGTAAGCCTATTGCCATATACCGGGCCCAATTCCAAACTCCTTGCTACTACTGAGATTTTTTAAAAACCCAGTAGCATTATTTAGCCTGACCCGGGAATCGAACCCGAGACCTCTTGCCCGGCAGTCGCACTTAATTGTGAAACAACGAAGACATCTTCATCATCAGTATTCTGAAAATCTTTTTTGATACTTTTTCAGTGTCGTTTTTTTTATCGTAAGTAGTTGGGTTTTTTACTATTTATTTGAAATCGGTAAAAAAGAAATACTGTGAGTGGTTCTAGTAGTCTAGAGACATGCAATTAGAATTTCTCTTGTCTATAAATTTTTGTTTATTTTATTTTACATAGTATAAAAAAAACAAAGTCGCTGCCTGCCGTCTGTCTGTCCCTATGTATGCTTAGATCTTTAAAACTACGCAACGGATTTTGATGCGGTTTCTTTTAATAGATAGAGTGATTCTTAAGGAAGGCTTATATGTATAATACATGCATAATATAGTAGAGAAACACTGATAAATTTAGAGGTTTCTAATGTAATGTCTTAAATTACATAAGCATTGCACCCGTGCGAAGCCGGGGCGGGTCGCTAGTTTATATTAGATAATTTAGTATTAAGGCCTACCTATCGCATTGTAGAATATGTATATAACAAATAAATAAAGTAATAATGTTAAACTGAATACATACGTTTAACTCGTCGAGTACCGTCATTATAGACACAATTAAATAACAATAGGTTGCGGTCTTGCGGTCAACGGTGTCCTCGCGGTGTTTGACAGTTTAATTGTATGTAAATTCAAAATTGTAATTATAACGGATAAATAACATATTGTAAAGAAGATAGTTGATACTTCTGGTGATCAAAAGGCTGGCTATACCTTGGGCAAAGGATAAGCATTGCCATTCAATGTGGCAATGCTGCCAGCCTTATAGGTACCCTTCCTCATGATAGCGATGAGGAAAATTTATTTGTCATTTTTTTAAGGTGTAAATATTTTAGTTTTTAGTTATTTGTATTTATAATATCAATATTACTTAGTTTCATGGAAAGATTAGTTAAGGCGTTTAAAAATAAATACCCAGGTCTACTTATACTAAAAAAAATTAAATATATATTATTTTCTTGTGTATATTAAACACCGTAAATAAAATATGTCGGCACTCGGCACACGGCATTGAAGTCAGTCATTGTCTCCTTATTCCTTTCCTTAATACAAAATGTAGGTACTGTTCTACTTCTGTGCTGCGATAGAATTTACCAATTAATTATTAGTTTTTTCAAATCTTATTAGATCTTACGTACTCGCGTACTTCAGACCAATCAAAAATAAGCAACACCAGGATCTTCAATTCCTGATGGTAAGCAATCAGCAACTACATGTAAGGCCAAGGCCACCCAACCAAACGCGTGTAACGAAACCATAGCGCGATCTATTTCGATCCCAACGCCATCTATCGAGCGTGGAGGCAACTTGACAGATTTTGAGTATTTTTTTTATTTTAGTTTATTTGTGTTAAAACAATTTTCTTTTAGTGGCATATGATAAACAGTGTTTTAGTAATTTTTATTTCTTGATTTTAATTGTAAGGGGCAACCCTTTGTTCAGTTTGTCCAGTTGCAGTCACCTGGATGGCAAGAAAGATCTTTTTTAGTTCCATATAAACATCGAAAATATCTTGAAAACTAGAGGTCACACCCCTAATAAAAATTAAATGCTGACAATAAAAATTAAATAGACAGGGTGGAAACGACCTTGGCCAGGGTTAAACGGTGAACCCGAGACCTGCTTTAGATAAAAACACTTAAATCTTCGTGAACTAATAAGGTGAGTAATTCTTTTTTTTTAATCTTTGGATCACTTAGTGCTAACTGATACAGCCTGCCTGGAACTACGTCTTGAGGGGTTCTAAACAAATGTTAAATATTACAAGATTGACGACGAGTTGGTAAGATCGGGTCAGCCCTAGGCGAAATTGAGTACAAATTAGTATTCGTCAAGTTTTGTATTTGTAATTTTATAAGTGGGGTTGTTCGGTCTGACCCCTGTCCAAGATCACTCCCACTCTGTCTATAAACAAGATAATATGTCTTTATAGAGGTAAGGGTGGTGGCACCAAGGGAGCTTCGAAAATAACGTTTTTTTTTATAAGTCAAAGTCAAAGCATTTATTTCAAACTGAAACCATAATTTGGTACTTTTGAAACGTCAACAAAAACAAAATAAATAATAGTCTGTCCGTCAGTGAAGCTAGGTAAAGTTAGGTGCTCATTCCAAAATGTAGATTCGAATCACTTCGAATGGAGAAGAACGAGCAAGAAACTTCATTCGTTACTCTTTTGAGATATTGCAAGATTTGTCTGTGGACTAAATTCTGAATTCGAAATTGATATTTATTATATATTATTGACACGGTGATATAAACTATGGTTACATAATAACCATAGTTTATATCACCGTGTCTCATTAACAGCAAATTATCTCCACAATTTTTTTAAGGTGGATATCGTGAGGGAATGTCACTCTTACTGACTAAAAACCACCCCTTTCGAACTCCTGCACTTCGAGCTGGAGCCCCGGTGACCTTCCACGTTCAAATTTATTATCTCCACATAGTGATATTTTTTGGGGACGAACGCTCGAAGAAATCAAACAAAATATATTTAGGTATATAATTATTTTATTTTACGTTATGTATGTATTACAAAATCATACAATCATTTATAATATTACATTTACATTATTTATTCGTCTGTTTGGCAGTTACCTGAGCATTGTGACATTATTTGGGATTGAATTGTGTATTACATAAAGTAGGGAAGTATAAGTTCCACGTTTTTGAAAAATCCTGACTTACTCGCCTATTTTTTGAAAATTATTGAACATTAAATTTTCAAAAAGGTCGTAAGTAACTATACTTCATTAATTTAAGGTTGATTTTTATCAAATCTATTTATGCAAGTCTTACAATGATCGATTATTCACCGTATTAGCAATTATTTTAAAGTTCAATTTAATTTGACTAAAATTGCAATCCTTCACCTACTTCTCTCCACATTTTTAACTATAATAAACGTCACACATCTTCGGTACAGACAGCACCATCCTTAAAATTTTCGGTGATTTAACTGTGATCCTCAAGCTGTCTACTAAGCACGGGGATAATTCCAAAAGCCTTAATCACCATCACCAGTGCAGAATGATGACGACACTCCTTTAGTGGGTTTAAACTTAAAATAGGGTACAAATTGTCGATTTTTCTACTATCTAAGATTTTAATCAATGTCTAAGTGTAAGAATGTTTAATTAAAAAATCTCTTGATTACACTTGTAATTAATTTAAATAAGTAATTGGTAAAGGTCTTATGTGTTATAATTAAATGCATTATTAGTAAATGTTTGTGCATAGTACAGTGGCGAGATGAGTCCAATATTTTGACATTTCTTTGAGCAAAGTTAACGAACAAAAATGGGTAATCGAGCTAAACTCGCCAATTTTTAATTCAAATTGCGCCTATACAGACGTACACAGTAAACAATAGACTTTAAAATAGTATTAGTAATTCAACATGCGTCTTTAAATCGCTTATCAAACTTGTAACAGTCGTTTTCGAGATCGTGACAATAAATACATAAAAAATTGTTCTTTTAACATATTTACCAACATACTATGCCCAAACATTTTAAAACAATGGAAAATTCTAAACAAAAAGGGAACTAATATATAAAAGTTGATATACAAAATTTATTTATTTATTTATTTTAATAATAGAAATAATAAAATCATTGATTCTATACAAGCTAGACTTACAATCGAAATAAAATAACGGAATACTTTGAATCGTTATGACGGCTCGACACGACACGACAATATAACGATATTTTTTTAATAATTTATCTATCTGTTCGTGTTATACTCAAAAACTACAAAATAAATTAATAATTATCTTTTACAGCGTAACCGTTTCATTAAATAAATCGAAAAGGCGCGCGTAGAGCTATGCTGCTCATTACTATGAGCCCCTATCCTGGCTTGAAACTAGTCGAGTTGAGCTGTAAAACATAATTTAACGACTAAACAGATTAATATGATGGATACAGTTATTTTTTGTGGATAGATGGATAGTGGTACTTGGAGAAACTCAATTTTTTATGTTAAAAAAAATGTGTTCAGGTGATTTTAAGTCTTATTTCATAATAATTATAAGATTGAATATATGTCTGTATCGTTTCGCCGCCTATATACATAAGAAGTAGTTAAGTATTTGATTCAGTCATTAACTGGCGCGAGGACCCAGCTTCCTTAGGCAGGAGATACCCTGGAAAAAACATGAACACGATTAAAAAACTGCATAGTTACGACAATGTACTGCGACAAATCGCAGATTCGATTGTCACATGGAAGTGTTTTTCCGCAACGCTTATTTAACTTAAAATAAGTTCACAAGAACAAATCCTTTTACTAGATTTGGTTGAATGACAATTTTATAGGTTGATCGAATAAATATCGATGCATCGATATATCGAGGTATCGATATAACATTACAAGTATTGAAAATGTATAAACAATAACTATTATTGGTCATACGTACTTACAGCTTACACACCCACTGATAGGCTAGAAGTCGGTGCCACAAGTTTTACACAAAATTATTCATTAAAATCTTAATAGATACCTAACATTATTAAGCTGTTGACAATCTTACTGTGGATTATACCTGTGACCATTACCTAAGATATATTTTATTATGGGTTTATGGCACCGACTTCTCACCTATCAGTGGGTGTGGTATAAGTACGTATGACCAATAATAGTTATTTTTTGCTTTTTATTTTACACTTTTCAGTTTCGTACAAGATATTATAATATGTACAACCCACATCTGTGCAAAGTTTTAATCAGTACAAATTATTCAAGCTCAAACACCAGGTAGCTACTGTTTACCATTGAGGAGTTCTCTTAGCTATCATATTACTTCATCATCAGACCCTTATTGACAACCACACCACACCTAGGTTTAAAGTCCTCACCGATACAAATTAATCAAACCCAAACACAAGACAGCTACTGTTAACTGTTGAGAAGATCCCTCAACTATGGCACTACTTCATCTTCAGAACCTTATTGGCAATCACATACTACCTAGGTATAAAGTCCTCGTCAATACAAGTTAGTTAAACCCAAACACAAGGTAGCTACTGTTAACCGTTGAGGAGTTCCCTCGACTAGCTCTCGGGTCCATCATCAGATCGACTCCAGACCTTTATCAGATAGTAGTGGTTTTAAATACTTAATGAAAAATTAACAATGTACTAGTCACCGCTATATTTGTTTTAAATTCCCGTCGGTTACCCTGGAATTCCACTATCAGATCCTGACTTGATGACAATGGGTCCAAACTACAAGCCAACCCTACCATATAAAAAAAAATGAAATCGGTTAAGGCGTCTTCGAGTAATCGAGTAACAAACATGAAAATAAATACAGTCGAGTTGAGAACCTCCTCCTATTTTATTATATTCAAAAATAATCAGTATTTTATTACATTTACGAGAGATAAACAGATTTAGAGTTTCTGAATAGCCGTGACGTTAAAATAACGAAATTTGAATAGATATGGAGCCCGATATTATATTCTTAAAATACCGACCTACAGCCGACAAGATAATTTACTTGGAAACCTAATTGCGTAGTTTATTTTATCCGTAGACGTGTTTCGGATTATGATAAAATGATGACAATTGGGTTGTTTCCAGGGTAAGAAAATTAAAAATGTAATTAGTACGTCAGTTAGATAATGAAAAAGTATTAGACACGTATTTTTTTTATTTTCTCGTATAAAGTTACAATACTCAGATAAAATGGCATTTAGTTTAGGAGTGGGAGATGATTACGTCACAACGTGCTACATTTTGATGCACGCTGTGACGTCACACGACATTTCAAATCAATATATCGTCGAAAGCATTAAATTTTGTAAGAAAAGGAATAAATACGTGTCTAATGTTTTAAGATAATCTACCAGACGGACATTAAAATAAAATTTAGGAAACTAGCCCATTACCTGCTCTAAGTACTCGTTCCTAGAGAGCCAGAAGTTGTCCCTGTTCTTGCAGACCTCGGCGAGTACAGCGCCGCCTATAAACACCATGTCCTTGCGCCGAGGCGGGTCCTCCACGCGGATCTTGAATTTCTGGAAATAGTACAATCATGTTGAGTGATTTTATTAAGTAGATCTTTTTAGTGGGAAATATTTCATCTAGACTATATCTAGATAGGTGAAATGATTCGACTCGAAGTTCTGTCGAAGTTGTGTCCTTTCCAGGTGAACCTGGAAATTCATTTACACAGATAACCGTGTTATAAACCTTGGTATAAACCAAGGCGAAATGTACACATGCTACATGTATAACGGTCAAAATTAAAAGCCTATCTCGATGTTAAATCGTGGATACGCATCGAATTTTGATAATAGTGGTGTGAAGGGTCTGTCAATAAATAAATCTACGGCCGTAAATCATTTAGCGCTTAGTAGCAGCTGTCCCGGTTAAAAATATAGTACACGAACTATTCGAAACAAGCTCGAATGTTTTCAAGACACACCGGGGCTTGTAATAATAAGCTGCGTGAACAATGAAATGTTTTTTTTTTATTTCCGTTATATTGTAAGGTATACTCACAGCCAACTTGTCGCAGTCGTTCTTGAGTACCCTCTCGAGGTAGAGTTGCTTGATCTCCCGCTCGAGGCGCGAGGGCAGGCCGGGGTACATGGTGGACCCGCCCGACAGCACGATGTGCTTGTACAGCTCGTTGCGCATGTCTATGTCCGCCGCCTGAGGACAAATAACGTCATCAATCAAATCAAATCAAATCAAAAATGTTTATTTGTTAAAATAAATAATGCTCAATTATCCCCCTCCCTAGTCCCCGTCTCCTGAATTCTCGAATCCTCCACAATCCTCAAATTCCCAATTCTCAAAAGGCCGCTAATGCACTTGTAACGACTTGGTGTTTCGAGTGTCAATGGGCGACGCCGATTGCTTACCATCAGGTGACCCGTCTGCTCGTTTACCGGCTTATGCCATAAAAAAAAGATGATACAAAAAACCTGTCATTCCTGACCTGTATAGTATTGAAGACGAGTTCAGCGATGCCCTGTCCCTCGACGTTGATGAGATGTGGCTGGAACAATGCCTCCGGGGCCTCGAACCTCTCGCCTCCCACTTTGATCACGCGACCGTCTGGTAGCTGTCGACAAATTGATATAGAGAAGTCTTTAGAGAAGAAAAGTGCTACTTTGAATTATTTTTTTTCTTTTTAAAAAAACACTAGGATTTTCTCCTGTGTCGTGTGTGCGTTTACAAACATACAAGTTCACATACACATGACACACAGACCCGGAACAACGATTTGTGGATCACACAAAGTGTTGTACCGTGCGGTAATCGAACCCGCGACACGTTGCACGGCAGGCGGTTGCCCAGCCACCGCACCAACCGTGCTATCCATTTCTAGCCATTTATAGTATTTTTTTATTTCAATAAAAATTACAGACAAAGGATAATTAATGTTTAAAATAACGTTGGTACAGGAAATACATATTGTAACTCGGAAAAAGTCACATTAGTTCTTGCCGTTGATATGTTTGGTACCCGCACTCTCATGCATGAGAAGCAGGCCTCTTAAACGACATCAAAGATTACTTAGACACCACTGACAAACGATGAAGGAAAACATCGGTGAGCAAACCTGGGCTTATAAATTCTAATTATAAGTTTCAAATCGCCAACCAGCTTTGAGCAAGCGTGGTGATTAATGCTCAAACCTTCTCCGTGTGAGAAGAGGTCAGTCGGCAGTGGCTACTTATAGGTTGTTGGTGAGGATGATGATGATGACAGGAAATACGTACTTTTTTGTTATATAACATAACATAACATCGCGCCTTTTATCCCCGAAGGGGTAGACAGAGGTGCACATTATGCCACTGTACAATGTAACACCCACTTTTCACTATTTATGTTATGAGTCCCATGTAATAGGGGGTGAGCCTATTGCCATATACCGGGCACAATTCCAGGCTCCATGCTACTACTGAGAATTTTTTTTTAAACCCAGTAATACTTTGTCCGACCCGGGAATCGAACCCGAGACCTCTTGCCCGGCAATCGCACTTGCGACCACTCGGCCAACGAGGCAGTTTTTTGTTACATTCACACATTATACGCGGAAAAAACGATAACATACAATAGAATATATTTACCGTGGAAACAAGACTACCTATACAAGGAATAATTATGTGCAAGGTATTCAAATACACATGTAATTGATCTGCATGCTTTGCCGTTCAGGGTGTACAAAATAATATTATTGAACTGTGGGGAAGTTCGCTTAGAGTAACGCAATGTTATTAGTTCTCTGACGTTAGTGTTTCGGGTATCCATGGGAAATAGTCATACTGTTTAGGTGTATAACCTTATATATGCCTTTTATCCCCGAAGGGGTAGGCAGAGGCGCACATTACGGCACTTGATGCCACTATACAATGTAACACCCACTTTTTCACTATTTATGTTATGAGTCCCATGTAATAGGAGGTGAGCCTATTGCCATATACCGGGCACATGTCCAGACACCGTGCTACAACTGAGATTTTTAAAAACCCAGTAATACTTTGCCTGACCCGGGAATCGAACCCGAGACCCCTTGCCCGGCCTCGGCCAAGGAGGCAGTAAATTTTTTGCGTATGTATTACAATAAAGCGTAAATTTTTATAGTTAAGACAATAATACTTACAACGTAAGGTTCCACTAGCACGGTGGTCTCCCAGGCCAGTCGTTGTTCCTGCTCGATGTTGTATCCGATGTAACAGAGCTTCTCCTTCATCATGCGAACTGTCTCGAAGTCTGCCGAGTGGTTGAAGGCGTAGCCTCGGAGGAGGAGGAGCTGAGGGTCAGAGGTTGAAGGTTAAAGATAATTTTCACTGTACGGACTAAGCCTTTTATACCATGAGCCTTTTATATAAGCCTTATATAAAAGGCTGATACACTCGAGTGCTTTCGAACCAAATGGGCTAAGAGCTCCAGTCGGACGCGAAACTAGTCGGGGATCCTCGTAAAAATTACAAGGGTAGATAAACATCAAAACATTATCTAAATTAGCTTATTTATTAAAATGAACAGTCAATTGCTACAGATAATGTAATTTAATAATATATTCTAACTAGCTGTTGCTTGCGACTTCGTCCGCGTATAATCATGACTTCTGGCAGAATTTGGGTTTACGAATTAATCTTTTCCAGGGTACAAACGTATCAGTAACTAAGTTAATTTATTGTGAAATGAATTTTATTTCGATGTTTCAAAAACTAAACAATCCCACAGGGGCTTTACCAGTGCCGTACCCGCCCGTGAGATTTCAGTGATAAAAACTATTCTATGTCGTTTCCCAGGTCTCAAACCCTTGTTGTACGGAATTTCAACCAAAAAGTGGTTTAAAAGATAGAAAGCTTCAATTTTTTATTTCTAACGACAATTGATAATTGCAGATCCACCTTCTAAACCTTATCTAAAAACCGTGTTATTCTAAATCTATTCAAGTTCTCGCTTTCTTGTATAGAACAAACACGTAGGTTTATTTAATTACGGGAGAGAATTTTTGTAACTTCAAGTGTGGGAGAGCCATCCTTCGGCACTGCTGGGCCGGCTCCACCGGAGTGATACCGACGAGCTGGACACCATAGTGAAACAACCACAGCGATATGTTTCGTCGTGTGAGAGAGGTTACCGATTATCCTACGCCCTCTTCTCCAATCTCCGCAATCAGTGAATCCCCAACACTCTTCAAATTCCTAATCCCCAAAAGGCCGATAACGCACTTGTAACGCCTCTAGTGTTCCAGGTGTCCATGGGCGACGCCGATTGCTTACCATCAGGTGATCCGTCTGCTCGTTTACCAACTTATCCAATAAAAAAAGTATGTAGGAAATTAACTAAAATCGCGGGTTACTCACGTGAATATACTGAGAAAAGCTCTACTAGTTTCGAACCACAGAGGGGTTCGTCTTCATGAGTAGCGTGCGTGGTCGTGGCGATGTCGCGCAGCCTACTCTGCTAGTAGAGCTTTTCTCAGTGTATTCACGTGAGTAACCCGCGATTTTAGTTAATTTAGTATGTCTCACAATAGTAACTATAAAAATTTATGTAATAAATAATGTATTAAAAGCTACGCACCTTGATGAGATACCTAGTGATGTCCCTGCCGGCGATGTCGAGCCGCCGCGTCAGATGTGGCAGCGCGAACTCCTCGTACACCGGGCATATGTGGGTTACACCGTCACCTGAAAACATACATACGTAATTTTTTTTATAGCATAAGCCGGTAAACGAGCCGACGGATCACCTGATGGTAAGCAATCGGCGTCGCCCATGGACACTTCGACCACAAACGGCGTTACAAGTGCGTTACCGGCTTTTCAAATTCAAATTCAAATTCAAAATTTTTTATTGCATATCATGTGTACAATTGTTGGTGTTACATGAGGTACAGTTTCAACATGAAACCCGGCTAGGGCACAGCAACATATGGAGCAAAATATAATCTAACTAAACTACTATTAATAGTTATTATATTATAACATAAGAAATGTTGTTTTCGTACTAAACATTAAAGAAAGAAGATATTTCTTTATTTTATTATAATATGTATTTACATAAATTTCTTAATAATGTATGGGTGTTATTGTATGTAGTACATGTATTATTATATTTAATATGATTTTTATTGAGTAGGTAGGTATGCATTGAGTATTAAGTTTTGCTGTTAGCTTGGTCATCAAAAAACTCATTAAGGGTGTAGTAACATTTTTCAATGAGGAACCGTTTTAATTTATTTATAAATACGTTATATTTTTCTGCTTCTTTTATGTATTTCGGTACAGCGTTATATATTTTTATTGATATAACTAGGGTGCCAGACGAATACATACGAAGTCGGGAGCTCGGTAGGTTTAGTCTGGTTTTGTGTCTTAAGTTGTAGTCTGTCTTATTGTCACGTGTACTGTAATATTCTGGGCGGTTTCTGACAAATTTACATATTTCCAAGATGTAGGTGCATATCAAAGTAAGTATTTTGTGGTTTCTAAAATGTGGTCTACAGCTGTCGGTTTGTTCTATATTTGTCATTATTCTGATTAACTTTTTTTGCATGGTAAATATGGTCTGTGAGTCTGTACTATTGCCCCATAGTATTATGCCATAGCTTATCCACGCTTGGGCATAAGCATAATATGTGGCAAGTGCGGTTTTAAAGTTGGTGGATTTTTTTATTTCATATAGGGCGTAGGAAAATTTCGATAACTTTGATTTAATTTTTTGTATTATGTATAACTTTTTGTGGGTTAGAAGTTTGAGGATCGTTGGGGAATCAGGGATTGGGGAGATTAGGGAAGAGGAGGGTAATTGGGCCTCCGGTAACCTCACTCATACGACGAAACACAACGCAAGCGTTGCTTCACGTCGGTTTTCTGCTCGGCCGTGGTATCACTCCGGTCGAGCCGGCCCATTCATGTCGAAGCATGGCTCTCCCACACTTTAAATTATTAGGCATTAGTTTTTATTGTTTTTTTTGTCGAAGGACTGCAGGAAGAGGTTCCTGCGGGAATATGCAGTACCTATGTACCTTTAATCTATTTACATATGTGTTATCCTGTGTATTGTCTGTGTGTTAAGCGTAAATTTATAAATAATATTAGGCGCTTTTGCCATACATTGCCATATATATTGGAAGCAAGTATAACAGATCACACATAGGACCCACTCAGTTTTTAGTCAAATTTCCGTGTTGCTTGGCGACTGGGCTTCACCCAGTTGTACAGTCTCTTCTTTGTGCCTTTAGGCTTAATTCATTTTGTCTCCTGCAGGGAAGTGGAAACTATCATTTTTTCTTCTTCTCTTATGATATCGTCTGATTCACTTCGTTGCGGGAACCAAGACAGTTATGTCATGTCCCTGGGACGCGCTGGACTTCAGTGTTCCGGTGTTTTCATGGTTGTCTACTGAAGATCTAGGCTTACAGGAGTTGCAGCGGTATCGGGAGGTTGTTCCAATAAAAAATATATACAAAATACTCACCAGAGTCGACGACCACTCCGGAGATGAGTCCTTGAGCATATAACGTTAGCACCGCCTGGATGGCGATATACGCGCTGTCAAACTCGTACTTCTCAAACATTACCTATATTACAGAGAATTATAATTAAATTAATACGACATACATAACATAATAACATAACATCACGCCTTTTATCCCTGAAGGGGTAGGCAGAGGTGCACATTATGCCACTGTACAATGTAAGTGAAAAGTAGGTGTTACATTATGTAACACCCACTTTTCACCATTTTTGTTATGAGTCCCACATTTAATAGGGGTGAGCCTATTGCCATATACCAGGCATATTTCCCGACTCCGTGCTACTACTGAGATTTTTAAAAAACCCAGTAATACTTTTCCCGACCCGGGAATCGAACCCGAGGCCCCTTGCCCGGCAGTCACACTTGCGACCACTCGGCTAATGAGACAGTCTTTCATTACTATATTAAACTAGCGACTCGCCCCGGCTTCGCACGGGTGTAATATGCATGTATATAAGGTGTTAATAAATTAACTCTAAATATTTTATGAGGTTGGTGGGAATCAATAAACTGACACGTTTAGCAAAAAAAATTAACAATTTTAACGACTTTTATTTTTAACAAAAATAAAGGAGTTGGTTAAACGTTTTTGTGCAAACCGTACGTGGGGCTGCGCTTGCGGCCCGAGCGAAGCCATGGCGCGCCGTCACTGTCCCCATGTTTTCGCAATCTCTCTCTCTTTCTCCCTCTCTCCCGTTCGCTAGTTGCCCCGCTCTCTTTCCCACTTCTCTCTCTCTCGATCGCCAGTTGACCGATAGCTGTCGCGCGGGAATGGTGTGGCCCTCAGTGTCGTTCAGTGTTGTGTTCGATCAATCGCACGCGCCATTTTTTATTGTTTGTTGTTCAATATTCAATAATGCCGTTTACGCACAGTAACCGCAAGTAGGTACTTAGACATGTTAATTTGGTACATTAGAAGTGGCGAAAATGTATCTGCAGCTCGTCAGTGGTAGATTAGAAACGTGGACGAATTAAAAATAAGCATAATAAACGCGTTTGATATTATTAAAAGTGACAGAGACACATTATTGCGAGTGAATAACAACGTAATACGTCGCGTCGTACAAACTTGTGCATCGAACAAAGTGGAAGACACTTCCAAGTTCCAGCATCTTCTGTAAAATAAGGTAGACTCTTTGTTAATACGTAGGTATCTAGAGACGGGCATTTATTCCGATGAATACTTGTAAATGATAAATACCTAAGTAACTACCAACCTACCACCTAGTACTAGTACTACTAACTACCGAAGTATTGGTTTTTGGTTGAGTTATTATTAGTATTTACCTATTCAAAAAATTGACATAATTAATCATTGTAGCTGTGCTATTTTAATTATAAGCATATCAATTCAGTTAAATAACATAATCTAAACAGAGTCGTGTGGTCGTTTATTAAAATGAAACATTATTAAGTTCAGTAGTAACATAAGCGCGCGGTACCACGACATCTGCGTCAGCGCGGTCGCTCGGGGCTTCGTCGACGGCCTAGTACGCCGTACGGCGCGCATATTAGGCTGTTTACGTGTAACACAAATAGTGGAATAACTTTAGAACGGTAGCTTTTTTTTAAATTATTTTTTCGTGATTAATTATAGAATAAATGTTACAACAAAACCTTAGATTTCCTAAAGTTAATTTATTAACACCTTATATATACACTGCCTTAAAAATCACTATCTAATAAAAAAACTGCATCAAATTCCGTTGCATGGTTTTAAAGATCTAAGCATACATAGGAACAGCGGACAGAAACTTTGTTTTATACTACCTATGTAGTGATTATAAAAATATACTATTATACAACCCTCTTTCACATCAGGCTAATGCTCACAAGCCTCACGGAAAATGCCAAAATTTATTTTTTCATGAGCACCGAATAACACCGAAAACCTGCAATTCTAACCTCAATCATCTTCTCTCTATTCTTGGTGGGGTTCATAGGTGGTTCAGTGAGCAATATCTTGGTCTCCTTCGGATCCACGTTCATCTTGCTGGGACCGAACGTGTAGTCCCACACGTGGCACATGTCCTCCCAGTTTCGGACCACCTGTAAATTAAATGGGTTGATTATAAATATTGATATTATAGTAGCTAGATTATTCATAGTAATATTATGAATCGGAATATGTATGTCTGTTTGTTTGTCCGTCTTTCAGGGTAAAACGGAGCGACGAATTGTCGTGATCTTTTAAGTGGAGATAGTCCCCGTTCCTTCTCCTGCGCTTCGAGCCGGAGCCCTGGTAACTCGTTAGGTTCTCCGCGACTAGTTGAAGGGATGGAGAGTGATATAGGCTACAGAATATCATACTACGATCAATTGGAGCTGAGCACCGCGTTTGCTAGTATAGAAATATTGTTAGTACAAAATTGTGAAAGTCGGGAAAAATTTATTTAATTGTTGTTGCTAAATAACTTTTGAAATCTTAAAAATTATGCCTTTTAACCCCGAAGGGACAAGTAGAGATGACAGCAACACGAAGTTACACTCAGTTTTCCACCAGTTTCGTTATGAGTGAAAAAGTAACGGGTGGGTATCGTTTTGGACATTTTGCATCAGAAAAGAACGTGCGTACCTACTTTATACGTTCTTATTAAAGCATCAAGTTCCTCTTTGTACAATCTTATAAAAGTATTTAGGAGTATAAGATTATCCTTACTATATATATTAATATTAATATTATAAATGGGAAAGTGAGTTTGTTTGTTTGTTTGTTCTACTTTCACGCCGTAACTACTAAACCGATTGCTTGGAAATTTTGCAGACGTAAAGTTAGAAGTCTGGATTAAATAATAGGGTACTTTTTATCCCGGAAAAAATGTATATTATCGAGGGAAAACGAAATTATTGGTATAGATGGCGCTGTGTGTTTCCTTACTATCCTTATCCTTACTATCCTTTCCTTACTAATATTATAAATGGGAAAGTGAGTTTGTTTGTTTGTCTGTCTGTTTGTTCCACTTTCACGCCGTAACTACTAAACCGATTGCTTGGAAATTTTGCAGACGTAAAGTTAGAAGTCTGGATTAAATAATAGGGTACTTTTATCACGGAAAAAATGTATATTATCGAGGGAAAACGAAATTATTGGTATAGATGGCGCTGTGTGTTTCCTTACTATCCTTATCCTTATCCTTACTTCCTTATTATCCTTACTATTATAAATGGGAAAGTGAGTTTGTTTGTTTGTTTGTTTGTTTGTTTGTTCCGACTTCAAGCCGTAACTACTAAACCGATTGCATTGAATTTTTGCAGACGTACAGTTAGTAGTCTGGATTAAACAATAGGGTACTTTTTATCCCGAAAAAATTTGATATTCCCGAGGGAAAACAAAAGTATTGGTATAGATGGCGCTGTATGTATTGGTATATGTCACATAGACTACTTTTTATCCTTTTGTGACGCGGGCGAAGCCGCGGGTAAAAGCTAGTATCTTATATACTAAATAGAAACCGAGACCCCTTACCCGGCAGTTGCACTTGCTATCACTCGGCCAACGAGGCAGTCTATTTAAATAAATAATTATAAATTATACTTACGCCATTCTCCATAGGATAACTGACTTCCAACATAGACCTGAGCTTAGATGCTTCATCTCCAACCATTAAGTCCTGAAATCATTCCAATATTACGATTAATTCATGCTTCCAAAGACTAATATCGTAATTGGTTGTACAGGTGTAAACGGAACGCTCCGAAAATGCTGCCGAAAAGAAATTGATTTTATAATTTCAATCGTTTTAGTTTTCGTATCATTCTTGCAACGTCAGCCTTGAGCGGTTGATTACAGCTATTATTACACAACAACAAAGACGAAAACGTCGCCCCAAACTAGGATTTTCTCCTGTGTCGTGGGTGCGTTTACAAACATACAAGTTCACATACACATGACACCCAGACCAGAAACAACAATTTGTGGATCACACAAAGTGTTGTTCCGTGCGTGAATCGAACCCGCGACAAGTTGCCCAGTCACTCACCAACCGTGCAGTCAACCATTTTTTTATCATCACCTGTCGGCGTTTTTCGGGAGCATTTCGTTTACATACTGCATAGACAGAGTTTTAGTAGTGAACACAATATTCTGAAAAACGGCACAAAATCTATACAAAAGACAGAAGGCGGAAACACACTATTGTTTGTAATGCGTATGTATCAATGTACGAATCTTTGTTGTCAAACAAAAAAGTGTCACAGCTTAGTCAATGACAATATTATGATGTATTGAATGTTCAACAACAACAATGCTCGAAAATGCCAATTTCTAATAAGATCCACTTTAAAATTGCATTCAAAGTATTATAGTTTTTTTTTATATTGTCCTAAATTAGTTAGGATCAAGGTGGCAGGTCGCTTTCAACTGACCAATGATGAAGGCACTTAGCTTCACCAACAACAGGCAGACTGACGGACTATTATTAATTTTTTTATTTGTCGATGTTTCAAAAGTACCAAATTATGGTTTAATTGAAATAAACAATACACAATCTCGTACAAAATTCAAAGAAAACAGTTCGAAAAACGTGTGGAATTTAGTTAGCAAGTACCCAATGTAAATCTCACAGATTTGATCTCAACCACGGTGACATGCGATATCCAGTTGTTCAGCCTCTGTGCTAAGCAAGTAGTATTTAGAATTGTGTTTATTGCATCGCATTTCAATAGTATGTTTCTGATCAGGGCGCTTACTCTTGAAACCATTCTCAACGTCAATGCAATTTCAATAATAATTCAATGTCAAAACTAACTATTAGCTGTAGCCGTTAAAATAGCATTCAGACTCCGGAATATAAAACCAAACTCAATACCATTTAGTTCATACAATATCCACGCAATATGGATGCAATGGGCGCTAGTGTTGCAACTGAAGAGTACGAAATTTCACAATACCAATGTCAATCGATGAGAATTGGATTCAAGAGTAAGCCTCATGGAGTCTATCATCTTCTAACAAAGATCTCGTTAGAAGCACTAACATACACAAAATAACATCTTTATAACATTACCATTAATATGCAGTTCTGTACATATGATGATTAGTTATTTCTTATTTGTCTTAACTCCAAGTGTAAACTTCAAAAAATTGTAAAATATTATTACTTTTTTTAAATTCTATCAGCTATGAGGGTATCAATGAAAAGACTATAGAAGTATTTTTTTTTTTTTTTAAGGGGGGAAAATCATCGAATGACTGCCCCCGCCTGGGTGAGGCGGGAGGGAGTGTCAGACTCTTACTGACTAAAAACCACCCCGTTCCTTCTCCTGCACGTCGAGCCGGAGCCCCGGTTACCCATTAGGTTCTCCGCGACACTATAGAAGTATAGAGTCAAAATAATGACCTTTAGTCCATAGAACTTCTATTTAAACTGTCAAACACCAAGCAGTCACCGGTGACCGCAAGCTATTGTTCTATATAATTGTGTCTATAATGACGGTACTCTATGAGTTAAAATGCATATAAAATAGTATTTACTTGGAATTTGAGACAAGTAAGAAAATACTAGTAAAAAACAAATTAGTTAGACTATATTACACTACCTATTAATTATTGTTATTTAAAAAAAAAACAAAATAATGCTAAAACATATTATGCAAAAAAATTGAAGTTACTAAATCAAAGGTTGGTTTTGTTGGTCTGGTGCAAAACAAAACTATGCATATAAAAGTATTGACATACATATTTTCATTATGGGCATAATATAATTACCTTTAATACAAAGCAAAAACAAAAAAACTAACTAGATGCTGAATTGCCTGATTTTGAATTAAAAAGCATTGAGTATCATAGAGTAAGATTCTTGTCTATAGAAGATATTTTTTTTAATTTAGTACATAGTAGATAAGTCTAATAAGAGTACTAAAGGTAGTTGTAAAATAAATCCAGGCCTATTCTAAAATAAAAGCTGATCAATTCTGCAATAGTTTAGAAACTATAAAATCATTTCATTGTTTTGGAAAAGTGTTGCATCTATAATTAATTGTTATATTTAAGCTTGTGTGCAGTTTATATTGCGAAGCACTGCATAAAAGAATACCTATATCAAACATACCATAACTTCCACATCCTCTTGATTGAAAGCCTGTCGCATGAAATGTTATAGCTTTTTTATTATAAGAAAAAGTTTGGAGTTTCTAACTTGTCTATGATTACAATATGCCTATGTCATTACGGTTATTCCTAAAATCCTAGTATATTTACTTACACTTAAAGTCTAGCAGATATTTGTGTATTTATAAATAACACTGTGCTTTGTTATTTTGACATTGCAATGTTTATTTGTGGATGATTATGTACCTAATTTCACAGTATTTTGTACAATCACAAACATTTAAGTTAAATTATTTTCACACACTCTACATGCATTTAAATATTTGTTTAAACATTTCATAAAACATATTAGTTAGAACAATGTTAGATTTCAACATTAAATACTGAGTGCTTAGTATGACTTTATTTAACATTTCAAGTAATTGAAATGAGACCGCATTCAGCACTCTGATTGGTTGGCTCATTGTAGCTGGCCAATTAGAGCGCAGAATGTGGTATCGTTTTGACTACTTTAAGCACACAATAAACTCATACTAAGGCCTCTGTTCTCAAAACAAGTAACATGAAAACATGCTGAAATATGGACTTACTCCGATACATATATCCTGTAACATTTCAAAATGTCTTAATCACAGTAAATAGCAAAGAAAATACTCAAATATAGCAAAATAATACACATTATACATCAAAACTATGACAACTTTAGAGATTTTTATATATGTTTAGGATTTTTTATGCCTATTAAGTGCCCAGTGCCCTTCACTTACTCAGTTCACTATTTCTAACTAAACATTTGCCTATTAGCATGTTTACAAAACTTACTTTTCTACCATTTGCACTACTACAGTGTTTTATTACTGTAAAACTGACTAGCGAGCCTCTCAATGAGAATTTAAGAATCCAATAGAGCTTCGGTACACAAAATCAATCAAATAGGAAATAATGTCATCATGTAAAAGGAAACAGGACAAGATATTGGATTCTATTTAGGTCTTTAGTTTTGTACTAAGAACAATAATCTATTAACTATTGCAAGGATATTATCATGAATATAAATATGATTTTATGAGGTTATTCTGATATATTCATGTGTGTTTCAGAATCATGTCAGTATGATAATAGTTTCATAGACAGGATATGGATGAATTACGCTACACACCTCAGTTAGCACAGTTTCGAAACTCACCTTCACATCAATATCTCCGATCTTATTCTCTGCCCTGATAATCGGCCGACCGACCATCGACGGGAAAATGAAGGCTGGGAAGTTGCTCCCCGCATATCCACACTTCACGAACTAAAACCGACAACATAACATGAGGAAAACGATGATTCAAGCTCTTATCACAACCACCATTTTACATCTCCATTTTTATATGAACTTACGCCTGTGCCGTTGTCGCAAACAATAACTTTTCTTCCTTTCTCATCCATTTTACTTAATTTATATTATTTCTACTTAAAATATAATTTTTACTAAAATATTTAATGAAAATAACAGACGAAGTACAACCCCCCGCACTGCCCGTAACTATCAAAGCTTTTTTTTAAGTAATGACAAATCGACGATTTTCCTGTATTAGAAAATAAAACGTATCAAATTGTTATACGGTTTAAATTACTGTAGCAAAATAGTTTTTGTCGTTTTGACACGCCTATAAAATTTAAGCTTGCAATACTAGCCTTTTAAGCATGTTTTCTCCATTTGATTGTTATTGCTAATTACAACAACGCAAGAAATCAACTAATTATTTGATAGCTTTGGTTCTTTTCTATGTCGTCAACTGTCGTCTTTGGCCTATCATCTTGTAGCAGTTTTTATGCATATAGTAGTGCAATTGATCCTTTAATTGGATGGAACCATAACACGATAATAATGAGTATATTCTTGTGATTTATGATGCAAGCTGAGTTAAGATATAACTAGGGTAAGGTCCGTTAAGTCGAGAACATTGAGAAAAAAGGGGTAATTACTACAAATAAAATATTTACCAAACAATAAATAAATGTGATCAACAAATAGATACATAAAAACCACTGCATGCAAAGGAGCACTTAAGTTTTTTAATAAAATTCCTAAACGAATGTGCTACTGTCGAAATAAAATTCCTAAACGTCAAACTAACGTCAACAAAGGAGCATGGGAAGTGGTGGCCTTTCACGTGTTTTTGTTCATATATATTGTAACGTTTAATGATAAATAAGTAAAAATGAAGCACAAAAGGTTCGAAGAGAACATCTTAGTTGATGAAGCTTACACAAATTACGGCCAACCTGACAAAAATGCCGATACAAAGAAAGGACAGGGTATTGCGAAGCATTTTGCTGAAACCCTGGAATATGAGGATAAAAAGAAGTGGTATCATCAGGTAAAGTATTAATTTACGTTATAATCATGTTATATTTATGTTAAGTTTGTTAAATATCTGATTTTTGTATGTATTGCACAATTTCTTGAAAGTGCAACAAATTTTATTTACTCTCATAACCATAAAATATTACAAAAATATTGCAAGAAATTCGTTAAATTAAAAGAAAAAAAGGAGATTTTGGCATTGTTAATTTCATACAAACATAATGGACAGAACAAATATTTATAAAACCGTTAAAGTATTCCAACGCAAACTGGCAATATTTTTGTTTTTTATTTTACTTGTTTATTGTATGAAGGTCATTAATTTGACAAACCTGGCCAGTGTCATGTAAACTTGTTTAGGTTAAAATCATACAAACCCTGCACTTTATACAAACCATAATTCAAATCTTAATTTCCATTCCAGATGCCAGAAGAGCCACCAATATCGAAGACATTAACACAGGATCAAATTGAGGAGATGAGGAAAGAGGCCAGCAGTGCTCTTCATGGTGACACAATGGCTTATGAGACAAGTAAATTAATTTATAATACTTCTACCTTCTGTCTGCGACTATGCATATGCACAATTCTGGATTACGATCATTAATCAAAGGATTTTCAGGAAATCCTTGGACAAATCTATCTCCTGGTTCTAACCTACCTCCCCACCAGCCAAATTTCAGCTGAATCAATTTAGGAATTACACGACTTTCTTTTATGTATTTACTATCTTCTGCCTGCGACTTTGTATGCGATTTTATGATATAGATTTGTGATTTTCAGTGAAAAGTAAAAAAAATATCCTATATCCGTCTCCTGGTTATAAGCTACCTCCCCACCAATTTTCATCCAAATCAATTTCGTGTTCCTTAGTTTTAAATAGTGTAACTAACACAATTTTCTTTTTTGTATAACATATAGTTATTTATAACATACATTATTCGTATACAAATATTATTTATAACATTACAATGTTTTATAGTGTGTTTCTTTGATTGATTTGGTTGATTGAACATATCAGTTGTTGCAGTTGCAATCAAACCCAAACACAATGTAGCTACTGTTAACCGTTGAGGAGATCCCTTAACTGCCTATCAGCTCCATCATCAGATCAGCTCTAGACCTTTATCAGATTGTAGTGGTTTTAAATACTTAACAAAAAATTTACAAATGCACTAGTCACCCCTGTAATTTTTAAAAAGTTCCCCTCGGTTCCCCTGGTTTTGAAATTGGTTACTGGTTTGAAATGAAATTAATGTGTTATCTTTATATTTCAGAGGCAAACAGAAGCGGCTCCTCAGATCATCAGTGGGCGCGCACACTCCTGAACAAAGGTGCCATAGGAGACAGAGTGGCAGCTGCCACTATATTGATTCAGGTAAGCCGTCAACTGCATGCATTTCACTGTCAGATCCTAATTATATAATAACTAGCTACTTCCGCGCGGTTTCACACGCTCTGCTCATCTCCTATTGGTAGTAGCGTGTTGATTTATAGCCTATAGCCATCCCCGATAAATGCGCTATCCAACACAAAAAGAATTATTCAAATCAGACTTGTAGTTACGGAGATTAGCGCGTTCAAACAAACAAACAAAATAACAAACTCTTCCACTTTATATACATAATAGTATAAGATAAGATAAGACAAGCATATTAGGCCACATATTATAATATAAAAAAAATGGTTGCCTGTAAAGTCGTTTTTACGGGCGAAGATTTTACGTGACAACGTCTTTTTCTCGGTAGAATATTTATTGATATGAATATAATTAAATTGCACAATAGGAACAAGGAATTGAATGAACTAGTGCTGCGCGCGCGGCAGACCGATCATAGTTGAGTGGGAGAGAGACGCAAGGCATTCGGCGGGCCTCTCTCTCGTTCGGTGACTCATCGTAACGTTACCGAGCGTTACACTTTTTCATAAGTGACTCCCAGCCGCAACCTAATTTAAGACGTTGTCACGTCAAAAAGAAGTAAATATTACTAATGAAACAAGGAATCTTTTGGCTACACTAAAATTCGAATGTTTGTAAATTATCGTGAATTCTTTTGCCAAGTTTCCGGCTTTGTACTCGCCACCGTTCGCCATTCGCTTGTATGTGTACTTCTATTGTCATTTAATGTTTAATTAAGTCAACATTCCAGCTAGTTGTTTATTTAGTTTAACCCGTCGTGAGCCAGAACACCGATCCATGCGAGATAATGTATTTTCAAGTCAGTTCAGTCAATAAGTTAATAGTTTTACATTTCTACTTCCAGGACAACCCTATTTACAACTTGACGGCGCTACGGAACATGATCAACAATGTGAAACCAGCTAAAAAGAAGGATGGAATCATTATCATTGGTAAGTTGTTGTAGTCTATATACTGTACATACAGCATCAGCTCATATTCGTCCACTGCTGGACATACATCTACATTTTTTCAAAGTCAGAGCATGAATTCATGATGCATGAATGCAGGCACTGTTGTAATGTTAAAATAGAAAAGTCCATCAGTGAAGTTTTTTAATAAAGTTTAGGATCAATTAGTTTTATTTATATTTAGAGCTTAGGGTTGGTACAGAGTCAACAAAATTTGTACAAATAATTATATTGTTAGAGTGGTTTTTCATTCTTATTAATTAGCCCTCTCTCTCTGTTTTACATCCCCATCTCCATATTTTTATAAGTAAAGTAACCGATACAACTTATGTTATAATTATGTGAGTAGTCTTTGGTAGTCCACACATAAACATTTTATATTTATTACATTTACATTATTTGATTTTAGAGTATTTATAAACTCCGCCGAAGCGAAGTTTTTCAAAAAATATTATAGACTCATTTGAGTGTTCCCCTCCACGGAAATCTTTAGTAAAAGGCGAAAGATTTATGCGTTTTGAAGGGAAACCAGAGTTAACAAAGTATTGAATGCGAGCCGACCTCGGAACAATAACTAGGCATGGAAGCCAGGCTAAAATAGTAATTTACAAACGTATATCTGATGCTCTCGCTCTTTACACAATTTTGCGTAGGCGAGAATGAGACCGCAAACTAAACATAGTTCTATAATAATTTGCAGGTTGTCACAACTTTCAGTGGACTCATTACAATCTTATGTCATTGGACTTATTCAGCATACTACCAAATTCAAAATCACGTTTTGACGTTCTATGTTTCACAGTTTCACTCAAGTTTGACACCTTCCTCACTTTGCCGGATTATAGTACTGAAGTGTCACCGTGGTTGTATTTACGGCTCCTGATTATAAAAAATGTTTTTTATGGAATTAGCGCAAAAGAAAGGAAGAAAGGAAGTGTATGGTCGTTCTTTATTATGTGTTTTCCTTAATAAAAATACGTCTTGTGTGATTGACGGCTGCAATTCACATTTAGGAAGAAAAGAAAACAGTGGTGAAAAAATACACTTTCATTCGTAAGTTTTTGATATGTTTTAAAATAAATTATATTGGAAATACCGGTAAACTATAAATAAATGTTACTTATTTATTGTCGTACTTTTCAATTGTAAGCCTAAACAGTATTATTCCATCTTTTCCTAAAAAATCTAAATCAATTTTCTAAGTCAGTTTTTAAGCTAGTGATGTGGTCATGTTACATATCGATATTTTAGTTAGGCTTTGAAGTTCTTTATAGTATAGACGTCGTTTAGAACCCGAATCACATGATACCTTTGATGATTTGACAGACCACGACTACATTTTGTACCCATCATCTATTACGGAATATTCTAAAAATGTCATAGAATACATAATCGGCTTTATTGGAAAGAAATTAAAAAATCTTTACAATGCGAAAAATGCATAGAAAGTCTTGAAAACACGGAGAGTATTCCTTAAAGATCTTTGATATCTTTAAATATAGAGGTAGAAGAGGCCTATTTAAACCAACATATGGCTTAACCAAGATCTGTCAGCTGACCGAAAAAATTATAAGAGAATATCAAGTGCATATTGATTCAAAATCTCTCGGTAAACCAAAATAATTATTAGATTGATTAATAAAGTTTCAGCAAATGTGTTGCCGTCAGAAAATTTTCGAGAAAAAAAAGATTATTCATTAGAACAATCTTTCTATGTTGATCACAGAAATCTTATAAAGTCCATAGCACAAAAATATTTTAAACTTAGGATACATTTTAACAAAGACAATTATATTTAAAAGTCAATGATAAACACATAATAGTGCACCACTACCACGGTTTGTAAATATGCTTTGTTTGTGAGCAATTAAATTATCTTTTTAATATTGTGTTTTATTTTTGAACCCACGACATCCAGATTAAGAACCTAATGTACGTTAGACCACAGCAGCAAAACTTTCAGGTACCATAATTTATCGATAAAATATATTAATTTATTCCCATCACTAGCATATTTACAAGTAGTGACAACCTGCCTAATAACGAAACGAAACAATACACATATCTCTTTCTTATACACTATCAATACCATAAGTAAAAAAAAGATGAATATAGGGAGTGTAGTTGTTATTTTAGCCTGGCTTCCATGCTTTAGTTATTGTTCCGAGGAGCCGACCCAACCAAACGCCGGAGAATCTTAACACCGCGATTCAGAAAGTGACGTCATTGCACAGTGACATCTGTTGGTACGAATTGGAACTAAACGAAGTGTCATGTAAACATATCGTGGGATAGATAAACGGTGACCCGGAGGTTTAAAACGCTCGCTTCTTATGCATGAAGGCGCGGGTTCGAATCCTAGCAATACCGATGAGACATTTTCGGCATTATAATGTAAATTTCTTAGATTATTTAGACACCAATGCAGTAATATACGGTGAAGGAAAACATCGTGAGGAAACCTGGGTTTACAATTTCTAATGTTAAGCTTTTATTATTGTCGCGGAGAACCTAACGGGTAACCGGGGCTCCGGCTCGACGTGCAGGAGAAGGAACGGGGTGGTTTTTAGTCAGTACGAGTCTGAGACTCCCTCTCGCCTCACCCAGGCGGGAGCAGTCATTCGATGACTGATGATGATTTTACCACCTTAAAAAAAAAGCTTTTATTATTGTAGTGTGATGCTTTAAAATTTACAATTTACTTTGCCTTCTCAGATAAATAGACTATCAAACAGTCAAACACAAAAAAAAAATCAAATTGAACTAATAATTCCGGAGTTTAGGCGCACAAACTAACATACTCTTTAACTGACTTCCATTGTTCCTTTACAGATGCGCTATCAGAGCTCCTTATATCCGAGCTACTCATACCGGACATGAAGCTGCGTACATTCGAGCAGCATCCCCTGGGCCACGTGGACGAGATGACGTCCGGCAACAAGCAGGCGCGCAGGAACATATTGAAGCTGTGGTACTTCGAGGATCAGCTCAAGGAGTTGTATGGGAGTGAGTAGCTTGGATAGCTTTCAATAGGCTCACCCACTATTATATGGGACTCATAACATAAATATTGGAAAGTGGGTGTTACATTGTGCACCTCTGGCTACCCCTTCGAAGATAAAAGGCCTGATGTTATGTAGTTTGGAGGTTTTTTTGTTTATAAATGAAAGTGGAGCTATTTATAACTGGAGATTTCAAGATGTTTACTGGACTATTACAACCATAGTTATTTAAAACTTTATCTGTAGGCACAGACGATGGAAGTATATCCCAATCTAACTACTGAGTAACGAAGTTCGATTTTGCTAGCTTTCACTATTATTCATAACTCCTATTCTTATGGAAGTATACATAGTTTCCTAACATTATGTAAGTGCTAAGGAACAGTCATGAGTGATATTTTATTTACTAGCTACTTCCGCGCGGTTTCACACGCTCTGCTCAGCTCCTATTGGTCGTAGCGTGATTTGTAGCCTATGACCTTCCTCGATAAATGTACTATCCAACACAAAAAAAATTATTGAAATCGGACTGGTAGTTCCGGAGATTAGCGCGTTCAAATAAACAAACAAACTCTTCAGTTTTTTAAAGTAGTATAAGATATAAGATTTAAGTATAGCTAAATTAGAACTTATTTTATTTTTTTCTATTTGAATCGGAGGAGTGGTTGTTTTTTGAAAAAGCGAAAATACCTCATGATACTTTGTCTGAAGTGTTATGTGGTCAGTCGCAAGACTATAAGCTGATGAGTTCAATGGTAATGGCGATTAGGCTTAGGAACTAGTGCCCCTTGTGTCTTTTCAAAGCATGTTCCTCTGCTTCAGCCTATTCGCAATGAGTGTTGGTTTTCAAGTTCATTGGCAAGAGTGCATGAAAAGATTGATGACTGGTGATGAAGCGAAAGGTATGTACGAATCGTAGTAATTGGCAATCCATAGTCTCTGCCTTACCGCTATGGGAAACAAGCGTGAAGTTATGAATGTATGTTGCAGTATTTCGATGCGTCGACAGTCGTTTCGCATTTCTTCTTTACATTATCAATTTCCGACTGAACGACTGAATACTTATCATACACGAATAATATTTAATAAATAGGTACACGAATGTGTATTTCTTTAGTTCTGGAGAACCACGGAGCACTTGTGATGGAACGCACAATGCTATTTTGGGCTCGTTGGGTGCACATTTGGGTTGGGTTGCTTAGTAATTAATGATTACACAATATTAATTACAGGCTATGTGGAAGCTCTGAACAAATTCGCCCACGACTCGGTGGAGGCGAACAAAGAGAAGGCGGTCAGTGCCATGTCTTACCTGCTGATGCATCATCCAGAGAGGGAGAAGGTATGCCAACATAATGTCATGCATTGTTCAATTCTGTAGAGGTAAGCACAGATCTTACTTAATCTCTGCTATTTAACTATAGTAAATACAGGTGACTTTATTGTGAAATACGGTATTACAAACGTGTCCGTGAAACGACGCTAGCGTTTTGTTTCGTCATGTGAATGTGGTTACCGGAGGCCCAATTACCATCCACCCACCCACTCTCCCCATTCCCTGAATCCCCTACAATCCCCAAATTCCTAAGGCCCACGGGCCGCACTTGTAACGCCGCTGGTGTACCAAGTGTCCACGGGCGGCGCCGATTGCTTACCATCAGGGGATCCATCTGCTCGTTTACCGGCTTATTCCATAAAAAAAGCAATATATTTTACTACTTTTTTGAATTGTAAAATTGAGGTTTTGTCATGTATTTTCTTTTAAGTCCTTTCTTTGAAAGAAGTAGTATTAATTTAAAACATTAACAATAAATAGGTACATGTTTGGTTCCTGAAATTATAATGCACCCGATATAATTTTGAACCGGCTAAAACATTTCTTCAGCCAAGGAAATAACTTCGCCCCTTTTACATATTCCCTACATCACTAGCGATTCTGGCCAAATAATCAACTAAATGTATGTTAAGAAGACACCTTCGCCTACACATTCTCTTGTTCATTCTGTTTCACAGATGCTGTTAACAAATATAATCAATAAGCTAGGAGACCCGTCGCAGTCGGTCGCGTCGAAGGTGATCTACCATCTCTGCCAGCTCCTGTTCAACCATCCTAACATGAAGGCTGTGGTACTGGCTGATATTGAGAAGATGTTGTTCAGGTTTGTACAAAAAAATACTTGCATACATTAAACCACCAACAAAAAATACATTGCGTTCTCGGGTTCGATTTCCTGGTCACGCAAAGTATTTACGTACTGGGTTTTAAAAAAAAACCTCAGTAGTAACACGGAAGCTAAGAATAGTGCCCGGTAGCAATAAGTTCACTATTAAATGGGACTCATAACATAAATGGTGAAAAGTGGGTGTGACATTGTACAGTGACATTAAACTGTCAAACACCAAGCGGTCACCGGTGACCGCAACCTATTGTTCTATAATTGTGTCTACAAAACCGGTACTCGACGAGTTAAGTGCCGTAATGTGCACCCCTGCCTACCCCACTGGAAATAAAAGGCGTGATGTTACGTTATGGATTCCATATTATCAATTCGTTACCTGCTTCTACTCATGCTAGCAAGTTAACCCGCCACACACAAATAAACAAGAAATTCCATTCTTAATAATACCAACTTTTTTATATATATTTGATGGGCCGACGTTTCCCCACTATCTCGGCTGGTGGTGCACGATGATGCGGTCTACGATGTAGCACGTCGTCCCATAAGCAACCTATTGACTCGGTCCTTGAAGACACCCAGGTTATACCTTCATAATCTCTAAGATAATCATAATTTATTTCCCAGAACGAACATCTCCCCCCGCGCTCAGTACTACGGCGTGTGTTTCTTGAACCAGTTCTACCTCGGCAAGGACGACTCCAAGATCGCTGAGAACCTCATCAGGATCTACTTCTCCTTCTTCAAGGCTTCTATCAAGAAGGTAAGCAGGAATACACGTAACCTTTGGTCTTAGGTACTAACAGATTTCATACTTTCTTTATATTTTACTTTGTATTATTTATATTGTTACCTGATAATCAAAATTGGGTACTTTCCTTTATTAAAAATAAAATATTTGGACTGTTCAATACAATAAAATAAAAGAAAAAATAATCACACTTTCGTTCATTGATTTTATGACCAACTTCATTTTAGTATTCTTACAGCATATTTTTTTGAAGTAAGTACACTGTTTGACGCGAAAAAAACGCGACGTCACAATACACAATCTCGTACAAAATTCATAGAAAACTGTCGTTTTTGACAGTTCGAAAAAAGTATTGAATTTGACTAGTTGGCAAGTACCGAATTGAGACCCCCCTTGCTTATAATGCATCAATGCTTCATACACAAAAATATAAAAATTACTCTGGTTATTAAATTAATACCTACATTTCACCCGCTCTACTCGGCTCCTATTGATCATAGCGTGATTATTTATAGTCTATAACTTGCCTCGATAAATTTAGTATCCAACACAAAAAGAATTATTTAAATCGGTCCAGTAGTTCCTGAGATCAACGCGTTGATACAAACAAATTCTTCAGATGTATATTACATCAACAGCCTATGCCCACTGCTGAGCAAAGCCTCTTCTCACACGCAGAAGGTTTGAGCATTAATCGCCACGCCTGCTCAATGCGGGTTGGCGATTTCAAACTTATAATTAGTCATTAGAAACCCAGGTTTCCTTATGATGTTTTCCTTCACCGCTTGTCAGTGGTGTCTAGATAATCTTAGAAAGTACATATAACTCGGAAAAAGTCACATTGGTACTTGCCGTTGGTAGGTTTCGAAACCGCACCCTCTTACCGTCGTCGAAGCGAAGTGGGCGTCTTAAACCTTCCGGCCATCATGACATGCTTGCTTTAGCTTTATATCACTATCACTACATAGTATAAAACAAAGCGCTATCCGCCGTCTGTCTGTCCCTATGTATGCTTAGATCTTTAAAACTACGCAACGGATTTTGATGCGGTTTTTTTTAATAGATAGAGTGATTCTTAAGGAAGGTTTATATGTATAATACATGCATATTGCACCCGTGCGAAGCCGGGGCGGGTCGCTAGT